TAAGTACTTCAAATCCCTTCTCCAAAATTCAGCGGATCCAGACCACCTGGGGCCGGTGCAGGCCTCGCGCTCCGGTGCGGGCAGTAGCATCTCCGAGTGACTTGGTGCTGTCAGACGACTGCGATCCTACCGGAGGAGGGTGGATGCATGTGGATGCGGTGGCCAGAGACGCTCACTGACGCAACAGACTTTCAACATGCATTCACCAAGCATGTTCAAAAGGTAACCATACGGAGACTCCGCTGAAGAAATTGTACAGTCGCACCCTGCTGCAGCAAAAAGTCTTAATGGAACAAGAACAAGACAGGACAACACATCACCACCCTACGCGGCTTCTAATTTCATCTAATTTCTACAAAACGTGCAGCATGTCTATAACTACCAACAGTTATGTCACCAAAAGGACCCGTCACGCACCGGGCCGCCGGCCGGCCGCCTCAATCAATTGAGTCGAGAGATCGGCGGTGTCATTTTGAAGTCAGAGATTCCCAGGTCATCCATGCATGGAATAAATACAATGACTATCAATTACGCGTACTATGTATAACAATTAAGTTACTGTACATCAATTTACTGAACTATTACTAATATTGCTGTATCATTTGCTGGCATTTACTGCAATTTATGACCCTAGTGCAAGTACGTAAGTATTCCATGGATGGTTTGAGGTGAGTATTTTGGTGGGGAGAACAAGGACATCAATATAGTGTTTTTGTCCACATGACGTGTTTTGCTGAGGAGCCCAGCAAAGATCACCGAGCTCTTTGCTGCGAATAAGGTCATTGGCTTGGATGGTGAACGGACCATGGTCTGTTGATCTCAAGATAGAGAGCGTTTGTTGATAAACGGCTAAGGTAGTTGGGAATTTGGATGAATACTATTCGGGTGTGTCTTGACATGAGGGAATTCTTGTGTTACGAAGTTGTTTGGGGGCAAAGGTCGCGCACAAGAGAAGCCAAAGCAGTGCCAACTCCCTGTTCCGCACGAGGGTCGCTTCTTTTGGCTGGCCAGGAAAGTCTCAAAGATAGTCAGGATCAGTTCATGTTCACCCCCAGAGCGACCCTGGACTTTCCGTTCAGTAGGGGCCGGACTGAGGACCCGAATCCTTTGGAGGGGTCCTGAAACTCAAAATCTCAAGTGTTTGCAAGAAGCTACTAGTAGCTCCTGGCCATACTATATACTAGTAACAAGAAGTTACTAGGAGCAAGGGCATCGCTACGAGTAACAAGAAACTTTTTAGTATATCAGCGCTAGTTCTTTTGACCCATCCCAATGTCTCGTCGCCTAGGCAGGTGACGAGGTGGGGAGCGAGTGGTGAACGGTGTGTTTGGGCCAAGTCCTTCAAGTGGAAGCGACGAGAATTCATCAGGAAGCAGAAGCTACACGAACCACAAAGACAAGCAGAATGTAGCGCAAACATGTACAAGCAAACATCAGAAAACCACTGGCATATATGCAAAATGAATGCCCGTTGTGTCCGGAATTCAGTTCGTGGATTCACCGGGCAGTCGGAGACCAGCGACCTCTTTGCCATTGCCAACAAAGCCGCTGAAGAGACCTCCCAGGCGAGAACGAGGAACCGGGAGACATTGAGTCATGGGTAGAACATTATTGGACAAGTCTTGCTTGGTTTCTCTTCACGGGCGCAGCCTGTTTTGCCCGCCCCCACCCTGGACAGTCGAATGGCCAATCATCGACCATTTTCGAATCCACTCAAATCCTACCTGGACGATCCATTGGGTGTCCAATGACCTCTACAGAGTAGGGGAGTCCAACGAGGACACCCAGGCAGAATGGTAGACGATTCAATTCCTGTTGCCGATCCAACATGATCCATCCACCTCAGAGGCATCGCTTTTTCAGCATTGGAGAGTTCAACTGGCCCGTCGCATGACCGGGGCCAGGCCTTTCTTGGGGTGATAAAACAGTGAACAAATCCTGATTTCACCAAGATCCTGTTGAAGGGAGAACGATCTCCGGAATCCGGATTGATCTCCGTCGATGCTTCCATCGTCCCAATCCGGGTTTCGTTCTCACGGGTGGGCAGGTTTCTTCCGTCTCAGCGGCCAGTGCTGGACCCAAGGCGCAGCTCAGAGCCATGTAGTATGGAGTCCCCAGAATGGCCGTCAAGAATCGAAACCGAGACATGTTCAGAGGTGGGCCACATGTTCAGAGTCCTAAACCGAGACATGTTCAGAGTTTGCAGAGTCATGTTCATGGTACATATCTAGATCATCTCTCACTCTAGTAAGTGAATAACATGTTCCTTCGGTTTAGTGTGGGGACCTCGAGCATGTTCGGGCCCAAAGGAACACGCTTGGGCCGCTTGGCCGCTAGGCTAGCCTAGGCAAGTCCATGCGGACCGTTCCAGTGTGAAACCCGCTTGGAGAAACACGTGGAGAGAGGACGAATGAGACACAGACTGCTTGAAGGTGGTTTGTGTACCGAGCTGTGGTTTGCATGGAAGTTGTTCAAAACGGACTGCGGACTCATCAGGCACGGGACGGCCAAGGGGGGACTGAGGGCACTGGCAGATCCACATCATATGTCATATAATATGTCCACATACCTCCAACATCCTCCAACTATTATACATATCAAATCGTATCAATACATATTGGTTACTGGTGTTGCTTGATTCCTCTGAAAAAAAACGGAACATATCATCCAACACACGAACTCCCTAGCCAAGATGTGAACGATCCCAGAACGATTCTAAACTATGAAATACTCTCATGAATCAGTCTGAATCGAGCTGAAAACTACTGTAAATCATTCAGCCCGTTGTAGAATGACTTGCTCGGGTGACCTTGGTCACTTGGCTTTGACATAATGTCTTGACCATTTTTGACCTACACTCAGAATATGTGTCATCAACTAGGGAGACCCCGGAGACCCCAGCTCGACTTCAAAAAAACATCCCAACTCAAACCCAATGGTTGGAGGGTCTCACGCCTTCCGCGCACCGAAGCAGGGCCTTTCTGGTCTTTTCACCTCGAGACCCCGGGCCATTGTGGCACCACCGCAGCCGGAGGCGAGCTGACACCGAGGGGGTGCAGCAGGTGAAACCGTCCTCAAAGAACCAGGTGAAGTGCCTGCAAGCGCCTGCAAGGGAGTGCCGAAACAACCTAACACGGTTTTTATACCTGGACCCTCCAAGGGGTGTCCAATGGACTACCCACACTACCTATAGGCTTCCATTGGGCACCCCTTGGAGGGTCCTGGTATGTAAGCTTCAGCTTATATATATATATATATGTGTTTTGGTGACTTGGTTGTCTCGTCATGGGCGCAAATGGACATCGGAGAGTCGTATACACAAGCACACGATTGAGACTTGTCTTTTGGGAGCGTCCCCTTTTCTGATTGTCAGAGGCACGAGGTATCGAACATTGAAGCAACATACCAATCAAAGAGACAAGTTATTGAAATGTATTGAAAACCACTCAAATTCATGGATCGAGGTCCTGGTGCGTGAAGCGTTTTCCCGACGCACGGCCACTGGGGCCACTGTGGTTAGGTGGTTCAGGAGGGTCGACGGTGAATTGAGGGGATAGCATGGATAGCATATGTTTTTGCTTGGCTTTCTGCGAGCGTGTTCATGTTGTGAAGAACGCTGGGGTTCATCATCCACTCCAATCAACGCACGTCACACTTGCCGATTTTGGGCACCGATCAGCTGAATCCACCTACACTTCACCCCATGTTCACGTCAGCTCAGCTTGCAACTCCATCGGTGCAGTTGTCCACCTTCCACCGTTGAGTCCGACTGAAGACCATCGCGTTCCGACTGAACCGGCGTTGGTGCAGGAGGCCTCGGAAGCCTCGGAGGACCTGTGGGCCTTTGCGCGGGTCACCGCGGCGGAGGCCGCTGTTGGGGGGGGTCCGACGGAGGCGGATTCCTTGGGCGAAGGAGAACGGTGAAATGGTGAGCTTTCAGGGGGTGCTTTTGAGGCGCTTGAAGCTCTTTTTGGGGCTCATGAATGGAGGACACGCGAATGAACATGATATCGTTGGAAACATGACCAGGGACAAACACTAGGTCACTAGGTGTTCACCAGACTATACCCTTCCCACATGCAAACCTCTAAATGGGGAGAGATCTCTTTGTTTATCGGCCAGGCATCGAGATCCGGAGTCTCCTCGACCTCGCGTGCCAGCAACGTGGGGAACATCAAGGATGGGCGGAGGGGGTGGAGGGTGGACAGGTCGGGTATGGGAAGTCCTAGGCCCGCAAAACATGGAAAGAAGATGAAAGAAGTGTCATTTCAGGGAAAAATTGAATGCGCCAGGGTTTACTTGCAGGATCATCCCACTGATTCCTTCAGATTTCGCCTACAAGCTGCAACTAAATGAGGCAGTCTTTATGTGCTCGCCACTGGACTCCATCAAAAGGTTCTTCATCATACGAGGCATTGTAGGTTGTCTCCTCATCTTCATATTTATAGCAGGCTTCATCATAGTCATTGCGGTCAGGATCCTGCTCACAGTCCAGGTTTCGTCAGCGTTCAACTCATGAGCCTCCTCATAGGCTTCGGTGGCTTCTTCATCTTGAGCAATGTGGGCCTGTTGGGCCATCATTTTTCTATTCTTTGTTTGGGCCGCTGTGAGTAGCCCACCATTGTTCCCATCAGGCCCATCAGGCAAAATCTTGGAATGAAAGTGACACACACTGCCGATTTGATGAGTGGATACTGGGCACATCATATGACCCTTCAAAGAATGGCACCCCGAACCGCCGATGTGCTGCGCAGGAGCTCTTTGCTCCGCCACGACGGGTTGCATCGGCGAAAGTTTGGCTTCCAAGAAACGGGATGTTTTCGGCGAAAGTTTCATTGGCCGGTTTGAGTCGCGGGGATCGGCCGGTTGGAGTTCACAAAGTGAGACGATATGAGACGATGCTTGATTGATATTCTGAATTCTTGTTATTATGCGTCGACCATACACCAAATACAAGTTGGGTCAGGGACTTGGGACCAAGTCTGGACCTTTCAGAATCCAACAATGCTGCCTTTTTTTGGTTCCATGGCAAAAAAGAAATATAGATAGATATATAGATAGTGAGGACGGGCCTTGGGATAAAATACATGATTTCATTGGCGTGACAACGGTGGGGGATCCTGATTTCTTTTGGGAAATCTGTACTTTGCCCAGATGGATATCAACTATCAATGCATCAGAAGTTGCAAATTCCTTGGAAGCCAAGCTTAAGAAGGGCCACATGCATCAACAAACATTCAAGGAAGTCTATGGTTACTGAGGTCAGAACCCCCAAACATCGCAAAGGAAAAGACTGTTTGATGTCTACTCTTTTCTTTAGGGTCATTTCTCGCAATTGCACTGCACGAAGATCGATCGGGTGATTTCTGGGAACCTCCAAAAAACCAGGTGCCGTGATGGGGAAGATGACATACAACAGGGACTGGTAGCAAAGAGACAGCCAGCAGTTAATTATCAATGATGGATATCTATAGGGGGTTGGTTGTGAGGTCAACAGCGCAGCAATGATCAATGGAAGAAATTGTCCTTTTCCTGTACCATGTCAAGTAAGGCATTGCAATGAGAATTGTTAAAACGGCCTTCAATCCAAACTGCACCATCGAATGATGGACCCTTTGCTGCAGTGTGAGCTCCACTTCAAAAGTCTTGGTTTGTCAGACTGCAACTACGACGTTGCCAAAATAGTTCATCGAAGGGTCTACTGTAAATCCTCCCAACATAATAGTGCACTTTGAGCCTTGAGGGAAAGCTGGAACGGCTTGGTTGCGCAGGCCTTATCTACACCAGAAGCACCTCCAGAACCCGAGGCCCAGAGGGAGAGTGACAATTCCAGGTGCTTGTCATCATGCCACGTATATACACACATATCGCGAACACATATACACACACACTCGAGAAATTGCGTACTGAAATGAAAGCCACTCGCCACCCGGCAACCTCAGTGACCAGTTTCCTAAGAGTACAGGTAAAATGAAACCTGAATGAAGTAGAGTCCGACTAAATCCATCAGTGACCTCCATGAAGCCTCCAAAGCACACTGAACTCCAAGTTCTCGAACATCGGAAACCGCGACAGTCTGACGACGATCGCTCATGTTTGCAGAACTCATTAGCACTTTACACGAGAGCGGGGTCACTGCAGAACTCATTAGCACTTTACACGAGAGCGGGGTCACAGCTAGGTTAACAGTTCAAAAAGGAAGCAGGTACGTGGAGTTGATCAGACTCCATATCAGTCGTGGCATAGCCCTCTTCGTTGGGCAACCAGCTATGCGCACGAGGTTGCCCCCCCTGCTAGAAAGCAACGGATTCCCTGTGATTCCAAGGGTTTCACACACGCACACACACATTTTTTCACATGGTATGTTTGAAGGGTATCATCAACATGTGTGATTTAAATATATATGCAAATCTATAGAGCTGGAGTTTTGTGAGACGATGGATTTGGGATGATTTAGATGTAGGCGACACACAGGCGAGGGACAATCATATTCTGAAGTGCGTTGGCTGACAAGTGAGATGCCCCGAAAGCCGTTCTTGTCGGGCGCTGAACATACCCCTATGATCCCCTATGCGCAACAGCCCAATAAAGCATCCATGTTGCCATTCTCAGGGCTGCTCTCACCCTGTCAGAGTAGGATAAGATTTATCAATCAATATTTAGCACATGTTCTTGCTGAAGGGCCAGCGTGCCATTTTGCGCCAACGTCCGATTTTCCTGACGATCATTCTAAGTTCATGAGCAGTGTTCCAGGATGAATGCTCCAGCTGTGCACGACTTTATCTCCAGGTGGTGCACGACTTGATCTCCAGTATGATCCATTCCAGTTCCACCACGTACATGAACTGCACTTGTTTCTTGATAAAAGGTACGTTCCTAGTCACCCGAACTTCACGAAAGTTCTTCATCAGACCAGCGAGCAGCTGGTGTGGTTCAGGCCTCCGACGCCGGCCTCAGCGACCTCTTCGCCTCGGCGTACAAAGCCGCACAGGAGGCGGATGGGATCGGCGCTTGCACAAATCCGAGAACCCTTTGGGCTTCGGGCAGGATCGACTGGGCATGTGAAGCGGTGGCATGGTGGCTCGGCGGTGGTTTCCGTGTTCTTTTCTGGTGTCATGTTGTTGATTGGGTCGCAACAACATGCAAGCCACCAGGTTTGTTTGGACCCGAATCAGAAGGGAAACCTTGAATGGGTTTGTTTGTTCCACTCACGTGTTTGTTCTTTTTTTTTGTGACCCTGAAGAAGTCAGGGGGTATGGAACCATAAGGTAAATCCTAATCACTGTCACCGTAGATGTCGTATTGATGATGTCACTATGTATAGTCCCTATACACTCGTTTGAATGGAGGGTTGCAAGTTGCTCAAGGAAAAAGGTGTTTCTGGATGTTTCTGGTATTTGTTTGGTTTCTGTTGCACGGCCTGTCTGCCTGGCCGATCTGATGATCTACCAGGGTGGCCGGTCGTCTCTGCTCGGCGCAAGCTGTGGCCATGCACAAGTGACATCACCCACCGAGGGGAAGCGACCGGGGGGCCACGCAGAACAGATAGGCCCTCTTGAAACGTGCAGGGCTGGATGCTGGTTCAAGAAGGACATAAAAGGACCATGTAAGCATGTACCTTCCATCTTGTACCCCCAGATTAAATACAGGACCCATTCATCGCCCAACAACATCCAACCACTTGCGACCTGAGGGGATCGCACACGAGTCACGCAGGCCTCCCGCTCGGGTGTACACTCTGAAGTACCTGGTACCATGGCTGATCTCTTCGGGCAGAAGGGACCGAAACAGGCACAGTCAGGGCGGACAGGGTGGCCCTGTCGGTTCGCCAAGACACGTCTTTTGATCGGATCAACTGAGATGCCTGTGGATGTTCAGCGGATTTGTTTAAGGGTCTTGCCTGAGCAGAGCCACATCATCAACAACATGCAAAAAAACATCTACAAAACAACAAGAACCTGGTTTCCCCAGAAGAATTGTTGCTTTATGTTGTTTTGACGTCTTGAAAGGGAGAATGCGACCGAGCACGCGACTTTCAGCGAGACAAAAACACCCGGTTTGAAGGAATATCAAGAAGTCAAAGAAGTGCTAAACCACCATTCCCACAATAATTAGAGCTGTCAGGACGAGTCAAGAACGATTGGACGTGGGCCTGTGTTTGCAGGCGTGAATACTGAATGCTGTCAAGGAAACCACATTCCAGAGACAACAAGTCCTCTTCCCTGAAACCACCAACGTGATACCAACCAAAAGTCCTGTTAGGGAACCAGCATCATGAACCGACTTCCACGTGTTTGTTTGATTTACCCTTTTTTCCGAAACGACGACTCTACAATTCAGCGTGTGTCATGGCCTTGCACTCTTGGATGTGCTTCACAACGGCTGTTTTAGACGCATGTCGCATGGCGGCTTCTTCCGCAGGTGGCTCCCAAACCGGTAGCTCGCTCCCAACCGGCACAGGCAGGCCTTGAGCGTTTTTGGGGCGGCAAGATATCGAGATATCTCGAGTGCCGACACTTCCCGTTGGCCGTTTCCACCTCACCATCCAAAGAAGTGCAGTTCTGAAGAGGAAGCCAGTTGTCAGCGCATATGTTCACCATCTGGTTCGGATTCACGTTGCTGGACTTCGGGAGATTTTTGACCCAAAAACCAAGGACCAAGCTTTGCACACTGTCGCAGCTGTAGCTTGACAGGAGCCTTCTGTCATCTCGGATGGCAGTGATCTCCTGGCGGCTGCACGCGCCAGCGCTGACCAGGCGCCGCGGGCTGACATAGGAACTTGACATAATTGACATGTGCACGGAATCTACACAAGAAAGCCAGCTCGTTCCAAAGATGTCCTGGCAGTTTCTTTCATTATCATGCACGGGGTACCCTACTTTGCACCCAGTCCCTCTTGAGGGCCCCTCGACCCTTTGGGAGTGGAGTAAGGTAAATTATATTAAAATGACCCTTGCAGTGTTTCCCGAAGAGACAAAAAAGGATAAAAGGGTTCCAATCATTTCCAATCCTGAATCTAGATCTAAAGAGTCTTGCCGCATTGCCATGCATTGCCAGTGTTTCTGGAAAGCATTTCTATCAAAACTATGGTGAAACCGACCAGCATCACGGATTCCCGGTCTCCATTTTTTTGCGGTGCGCCCCACGTTGGAGCCCTTGGGTGCGAAGAAGGCACCGCTGGCGGGATGTCGCAGCATTTTGGGGGGGTCTGAGAAGCGACCGGAATAGTATGATCCATCCCAGAAAGGATGCGAAGGAATCAGACCTGGGGGATCAAAGAACCAGGATGAAAGGATGCCTGCCAAAATTGGATCCATGAGATCGCTTCACATCCGTCACCATCTCTCGGGAAAAAGCGAATCGCAGCTCATCCGATGTCGCTTGTGACACGCGCCGGGGAAGTGAGTCTTCAACGAAGCATCCGAATGTCGCATTCCAGAGCTCAATTCCTGGAAGACTGGTCAGAAGCTGAATTCTTGGAAGGTTGAAGAAAGCAATTGAATGATTCTCTCTTTTGCGGACACCGGCTGTGCCTATATGACGTAGATCGACTCTTCAGTCGTCATTCGCCGGCGGCGGCCCACCGGAATCAGCCCGAATCGGGTGTGCGAGTGATGGAGTCAATGACATCACTTGGCTTCGCACATTCTTGGTAGTAACAAGAAGCTATTAGTAACAAGTGCATCGCTACTAGGAACAAGTGAGCTCCTTGGTTCAAGGCTGCTACTTGGGCTTGTTGGTCGCAAGGATCGCACACTGCACGTAGTAAAGCCCTGCAGGCACCGCACGTATCCAGCTTTGCTGCGCAGCCGAAACACCACATACCACGACGTGGTCCGCATCCAAGTTGTAGATGTTGTAGTGAGAACACCAGGAAAAAAAAGAACTGGTCCAGGCCTCCATAGGCACATGTTCTCCACTACAGTAGCTGGACTAGTTGCTTCGTGTTCCTTGCAGAGTGATCAGAGTGGGCACTCTTTGAACACCGGAGTGTTCAAAGCTCCAGGAGAATTGAAGTGGTCGTGCTTGTTGGAATCCGTCCAAATCACACACCCATCTCGCAGTAGAAAAGGCACCAAGCAAGAGAAGAGGTGCAATGGGGCACTTGGGGTGCATGCCATTTCCAGCAACCTATTTGCCAAGGTGAAATCCCTAAATCTGTTCTTCTTCAGTCACGGAACCTTCTGTGCCACGGAACCAGGAACCTTCCGTGGTGTCAGACGGCAGCGACCTTTTGGCGGTGGCCAAGGGTGCTGCAGACCAGGCGGGGGCACAACCGAATCTGCAAGGGTGCCGGGCTCCAATGTGTATATAAATATATATGACAATACAAGATAAATATAAATAATTACTATTGCTTTATTGAATTATATAACTATTGTATATGCTGGTTATTGGTGGTTACACAAAGACCTAAAGACACTCATCCAGTAATCTCCTGCACATGACAGGCTTTCATGATAAATTCAGCGTGGCCAGTGAGGCTTTCGGGATTGCATTGTTGGCATCCTTTCGTTGACCTTGGGTGACCAAGACTCAGTAGTCTGCATCAGAAAGGTGGCAGACTGACACAGACTGACGCAGACCTGTCGACCAGTCTTCGTCCTGGTTTCAAAGACTGTGTTGCTTGACCAGTGAACGAACGTTCGTGCATTGGCTGGGCCCTCCAAGCCTGGAAATGCATCGCTGTCGCTTCGAGGTCTCTCGCTCCGGAGTGCAATCCTCGGTCGCTGGCACTACGGCCCTCAAGGATGTGTTTGGGAAAGCTTCGAAGGCTCAACAGGCTTGTTGACTGGGCTTGAAGCATCGTATTTTGAATCTAGAATAACCATGAATATCTAGGAATAGAAACGACTTGCATTTATTTATTATATGTTTTACAGTATATATACTTTGAAGTGGTGCCCCAAGGCTTGACACTCATGACTCCGTTCTTCTTCCACACCAGGACCAACCTCTCCCAAGCTGCTTCCAATCCCTGGAGGCTGACGATGCCTCCTCTTTGGGTGGTTCTGACCTCATGGCCGTGGCACAAGGTGCTGCCGCGAACGCCTCGCGCTCGGGCGTGCAGAGCTCAGTGGCTGGTGGCAACGTGGCGGAGCTCTTTGGTGCACGGCAGGACTTCTTGGCCGCGGCGCAGAGTGCGGCGGAGGACGGGAGACGGGGGCTCGCTGCCCGTGGAGACCGAAGTGATGTGAGGGAAGCAAGGAGACTATAGTAGCGTCCGATCGCTCCTAGTAGGGCAGGAGGCCCTAGTAGTGATACCAGGAGCCCCTAGTAGCGTCCAATTCGGCATATGTGATTTTCAATCGTGGCTTCACTTGCCCACTTCAGTTGGCACTTCACTCACAAGGTCCTCGCTTGAGTGTTCTCGCATCCCGCCAACTCTCATATGTGAACCATTGCATTTGTTCAGCTCGATGCAAATGACAGTTGTAAAGTGTTACTTGATGCATTCTGTGAGGTGATTCAGCCATATTGTATGACCAAATGACTCAGGAGTTCTCCCACTCCGGCGTCGCCAGCGACTCTGACATCCTGGGCGTGGCGCGCCTGGCCGCGCGCGACGTCTCCCGCAGCGGCGTGGGCAACGACTCGGACCTCCTCGGAGCCGCGCGGCGCGCGGCAGCTGAGACCTCGGAGGGTGGCACATCTGCAGCCACGGCGGCCGTGCTGTTCGCGGCGCGAAAGGGGCGAGACTTCGAGTTTGTGGCACCCAGGCCGGGGATGAACTAAGGTCGAACGAAGGATGTGGTGTGAATGGTATAACAGTGATGCAGGATCTGAATGGTTTATAAGATACTGTATGGTCTAACAGTGCATGCTGAGTGCCCTATAATGTGTCAAGTGTTGCAGATGATTGAATGCATGGGCATATCATGGCATAATACGATATAATGAATTAGTAGGCGATTGAAACCATGAATTCGGACAGACTCATGTACCAGTGACATCTTGCCATTTGCCACCACTTCCACTTTGTCAACGCCTCACCAGGCGTCAAATGCACCAAGACACCCGCCACGGTCAGCCGGCCAACAGCGATCTCGATGCCCCCTGGGCGCTGCCCGTCCCGCCGGTTCTCCCCGCGGTGCCGCGGCGCGGCGCCGCCGACGTCGCGCCGCCGCCGGACCCTCCGCCGCTGCCGGAGCGGACCTTTTGGACCGACACGCTGAAGGGGCTGGAGGACTGGGACTGGTTCAGTTGGAGGTATGTTTGGCATGTGATGGATCAAAATGGTGACTTCGTGGATTGCAACGAGATGCAAATTTGGCAGAACAACATTCCAGCATCAATATAATCACCTGCAGAACCTGGTGACCCAACCATTGAGCATAGCTTCAAACATCTTCAAGTCTAACAAGCGTAACAAGCATGTGATGTTTTTTTTGCATTTGGGAACTCCAGCCAAAATGCTGAGCAGTCACCGTTTCTGCACAACGCTGGCGGAACGCTTGGTGGGTCCAACGTCTGCCTTTATCAGTACTGAGGAACGCGCATAGAAAGTGGTGATGTAGCAAGGAAATTAATGCATACAAAGTACCTTGTACAGTACATAACTAGACCTTCGACATAATTTTGTAGCTATAATTATGCAAAATATTGTAATATACATACAATGTGTCCGGATTTGTTGGCCACATCTCGCAGGAAGGAGGCTTGGAAGCACCTGGGCCCACATCAGAGGCCTGGCAGATCTTGTGGCGATGGAGAAGCACGCAAAGGTGTTTCCACTGTTTGTCGTGTATGGGCAAAGCCAACCCATTATGACACGTTGATGGTGAACACCTTCTTTACACTCTTGGACTCTTGGACGTATATTATAGTAGGCTCATTTCACCAACTGAATCATCTAGAGTCATACAGAAAGATTTTGATAAGTGATTGAGGAAAATCAGCAGCTTAAATGTGACACCTTGGGGGTTAACTAGGTCACCAACATGGATGTGTTTTTTCTCCATGGCTGGGCGTTGGAGAAAAGAAACACTGTGTTACTCAGAAGAAAAAAGTGACCTCAAGACCCCTTCACAAGGATTTGTGGATGAGGACTATTTGTTGTTCATGAGTTTGAGATCTCAACAGCAATGGACCCAGTCCCCAGATGTCCCCCGCATGTCATATGTTCTTCCTGTCGGTGACGGGAGGTGAGCCTGTCACCTTTCTTAATGCGAAGAAGAAGACAGATACAACATTACAGAAGAACGTAGCACAACATACATTGATCTATGTTGGGAATGATCATGAATCATCCATGTACTTGGATGATCGGCTCACTCAATACAAGCGGGTGTCCGTTCTTGTGCCAAGCTTGTGCCTTTTGACGGGGGTCACTGTCTTGATACGGAGACCACAGGCCATAAACCACATGGGAACTGTACTCGTACGTACAATCAGCGTTTGTGCAACAACCACGGAATTATTCCAAGTTCAAGGAACAACACAACACGTACTTGATGTGTATAATTCAGATTAATTCATGATCATCGACACTGAGTAACATGAAACCCATAATGAGATCACCCAGTGCACGTCCTTTGTGGTCCCTCACTGACTTTGTTACACCGCGAGGCAATCTGTGTTGAGGCAATCTTTGGTCTTGGGAATGCTTAGGTCCATGCAATCCTTCCTGTCTTTGGTCCCTCGCTGTCTTTGGGCCATGCAATCCTTTTTCATGACACGATATGAAGCATTGGCAAGTCTCAGTCTCCGACAGTCTATAGGTCCAGGTGGTCCATGGTGTTGTTTCTGTGAAAGTGGGTCGGGACCCGGTTGGGTCCCGACTCCTTGTCCTGTCATTATTCAAAAGATGCAAAAGGACCACCAGGAAGCCTGATCTTTCTTTCGAGAATAGGTAACTTTCTGAAGACAACGAAGATTTTTGGCTTGATCAGTCGCTTCCATCTTCGCCAGGCCTTCGACGCTACAAAGCTCGTCCACCGCGCTCTTCAGCGCTCGACCGAGCACGGGGAGGTGGACTTGGACGAGGGGAGGTGGATGGATGTGGTTAGGTGTATCGATGACAAAACTTAGGGAACATCAGAAGCTTCGATGGATGTTGGATGTTGGTTTATTTGGGGATCGAGTTGTATTTGTGTACTTTTGGTGGATGATGGGATTTGGATGGATTTTATTTTGCTTTGTTTCACAATGGACTTCCATGTACCAACTTGACTGCAGATGAGACTATCATCTCCCAGGTGCTGGAATTGTCATGAATTATCCATATCAAACAGCGTAGCATTCCAAGCACCATCAAGCACCATTGATTTAATAGGTTGAATCCCGAACAACCATTGTTTTACTAAGGAGTTGAGACTACGACACCAGGTCCACCGAACTCTTGAAAAAGGGCTCGAGGCCCGGCTTTTGGCTCCAGGCAGAGTCCTTGGAGGAGGGAGAGGTCGATCACTGCCCATCAGGTGTGGGAGCTCGACGCAGGTGGGTGGGTGGGTTTGGCTGGGAAGGGTTCGAGGCACCAGAGTTGGAACTTGGAAATCCACTTTTGGCTGCCCCAAAACGACCTGTTTTGATGTTGAAAGAAACAGTTTCGTTTTTGTTGGAATTGCGTTTTCTAGGACGATGTTTCTTGGGCTGACAATGTTTCGAAGCTTTGACGCTGGGCGATTCTGATTCTCCAGTCAAGGAGTGATCTATTGTACCAGATGTACCAGCTGCACAGTATAGTACAGTACAGTCATGTATAGTCTATTGTCTACAGATGTCTGCAGTATATTGTATAGAAAGACATTGGCGTTCTTCAAGTACTGTGGTTGGGTGGTCCAGCTTTGAGCCAACTACCAGCAGAGGGGTAGCGTGAGGTGCGCAGCAACGGGCAGACCATGGTGTATAGCCCTCAAAAATTACCATGTAGTCCTCTTGTGTACACATGCGTGGCAAGTTGTTCCATTGTCCACCTGACAATGTCCTGCAAAGTTTATACGGTTTACCAAACTACCAAAGCAAAGGAAGTGTCAAAAGGCCGATCTACTGCTCCTCATGTGTTTGTTCAATTTGTTTCTATACTTAGTACATCTTAGTACTTAGGCTGGCTTGTCCATTAGAGAGGAAACTGGAAGACCAGTATCAGCTAGAGTTTGCAGCTCTTCCATATCTCGGTTCTTCAACACCTGGCAATGCTTTGATCGTTTTCAACAAGAGTTCTGGTACCTAGTGCTTCCAAGGGGTGTCCATGCAATGGAGACGTCTAGAGAAATGTTTATTTTTGTTCTTAATATACTAAGCAGCACCAGCGGGTGCTTGTTTGTGATTCGGGGTCAGGAAGCAGCTGGTATATCCAGTGCATTAGTGACCGGAGCTCAACCTCCCAGCGCTGAGGCATCCTCCCACCACACGAGCGACCTCGACCCGATGACTCGCCGGCGCGGGGGGGGTCGGGTTCTCCGGCACCAAAGGGAGCGAGCGTGCGAGCGAGCTCGGCACCCGGTGAAAGCGGGGTGAAGACCTTGGGGTGTTTGAAATACGTTCACCACCTGTGAATGGGTGAAGACCTTGGGTAGGTGTTCAACCATGGATGCGCAAGTGACGTCGGTAGGTGAACGAAGGGATCCTGGTTTAGACCCACAGCCACCGAACGGCATGAATTTGAGGAGTAAGGCGCCGCGAGTTCGTTCGTTCGGTGGTGCCAAACGACTACTGTCCGTATCACCAGGTTTAGACAACAAATGATTCATTAACCATCACAAACCCACGAGACGATGATGATGTTCAGCAGCTTTATATGGTGCTGAATCCTGATGAAACATCGAACAGTTGAATGTGTTGTCGTTTACTCTTTGCCCCTTCTTTCGGAGCGTTGCCCTCGCTTCAATAGACTCATGGCTGCATTGAAGCGAGGAACTTCACCGAAACGTGCCGAGCTCCACCAAGCCGCGCCGAGTCTGGCAGGCGGCCGCTGCCGCCCGCGCCCGCGCGGCGGCGCGCGCGGTGCGGGGGCTTCCCACGCCGCCGCCACGGATGGAAGGAACGGCTCAGCCCGGCTCAGCCCAGGCCGCAGTGGGCGCGAGTGATGGCACATGTGGGAATGAATTCAGAAGAGAATTTGATTGCTCGACTTTTCCAGGTTTCAAGATTTGTAGATGATCATCAGCAGAAATTGGAAGGATGGCAGCTTTAGAGGTGTCAATTCGCTGGATATTCGCCAGTCATTTGGCATCAAAACTGTCCATCGGTTGGTGTGGGACTTTATGCATTGTCGCCCTGGGTGATTCTTCGCGCAAGCAGCCGCACGCGCACGCCACCTGGGCCACAAAAGCCCCAAGTAGAGGGTTTGCAAGTTGGATGTGTTTATTGATCCATATTGATCCTCGTGACGTGGCAAATTGCCTGATGGTTTGATGTGTTTGGCAGAAGTTTTGGGCACTGAGAAGCTTGGGTGCTATTAGGTGTTGGTTTTGCTTTTGATTCATTTGGATCTTCTAACTTCGAGTTGCATGGGTAGTCCAGTCGGAAGTAGGAATTTTTACTTTGTTGATCACAGTGAAGTCGTGGTGAAACTTGCAAGAATGTTGCATCTTGTTGAATATGATAGTAAAATCGTTTTATAACTAAGTAATGGATAGAAGCGTGTTCAATACATAAAAGGAGAATTCGCTGCTCCTTATATTTTGAGGTTTGAATCTGTACAATTCTTTGTGGTCCTGTCGGCCACTCCGCCGGCTCAGGCCACTTCTCCATCCAGTGCAGGTGCCCTTGACATGCAGACATGTGCATTGCACGAGATTGCAAGCTTCATCGATCCAAATGGCTCCCAATTCCTGTCCGATATTGCAGCTTCACCACCTGATATGAACGAACATGAGCATCCTAAGGGCCAGAGGTGAGGATGTCAACCTTTCATATAGGTGTTTCGGATTGTCCCGCAGCCACAAAGGCAATCCGTTTGTTTGGTGATGATGCACTCAATTCAGGATCAGTAGAAACCATGGTTTCGCGACCACGGAAAAAACAGTCAGGGGAAATGATTGAACACACAAGGAACAGGTTTTGGCGAAATGAAGGCCTGTGAAGCTTGGTAATTTAGCCAAAGCCAAATCAAGTTCATATAGGCTGTTCTTGACCAACGGCAGTTGATGCGGGACTGGCAAAACATGCTTCCCCGAAAGCAAGTTGCAGTCTTGCAGTGGTAGTGCACACAACCAACATGAAAACTAACACCATTCGTACAAAGGGACTCGTTGCCTACGTACGAGATATTGAACCATGCACGTAGCTGTGAGTGAGACAAAAGAGGTGCATAATACGGCCATGCGCACACTTATATTGCACAGTAGTAAGATCATGTAAGATCCTTTGCGCCTTTGCGCTCCACCGCTCGACTTTCTGATGCTTGAACGGTTGCCCAACCGGCCGTGGCACTCGCCATCTAAAGCCTTCAACTTGGGTGGTGAACAACATGGATTCAATATGTGGCCCCGTGTGCTCCATTGATCTCCATTATGTGGCATGAGGAGTGCCATTGATGTTGAATCCACCAAAACACCCCGACACCTCTCACTGAGCTATCATTCTGAATTTGACCCTTCCGCAGATCATCATGGACGTTGTTTTTGTGTTTTTTGCCACGCATGATTTAACATGGATGGTCTCTTACAACGGTCGATTCATGATGATTCATTGATCATCCAAAAAGAGTAGGGACAACTGTCATGGGAAAAAAATACAATCAGGTAATACCTGGACGCTCTTTTGATACAAACAAAATACATGCTTCCTCTCTTCTGCTCACATGAAGCGAACGAGGAGTCGTTTATAAAAACCGGACCGTTGCGTTCGAGGTGACGCAACCAGTCCCACAAGTCCTCGAAGTCCAGTGGGACCCTTGAGTCCACGTGCGCGGGCCATGGAGAGGCCCTGTCGAGAGCCAGACGTTTTTCGGGAGTTGGGGGGAGGGCCTTGTTGTGGAGAACAAGAAGGGGTTACTATGGTTTATTTATTTATAGTTTATATAGTATACTTGATGTTGTTATTAGACAATATGTTTTTTTCAAATTTGTGGAGAAGGTGTTCAATTCTTGGACTTTGGACCTCGACATCGAGACACGGTTCAATTGGCAGCCAGGCAACAGATGCTGGAGCTCCGGCGTCGCACCGGGCGAGAGGTCCGGGAGAAGCGGAGAAGCCGTGCGGCTACTGGGAGAAATGATCTCTTTGGGAAGGTGGTATGCGAAGTGCTCTGGCATGCGAAGTGACATGAAATTGTAAGGTTGTTGGGGATGTTGTATATTCCTCAGTTTGTTTGAAGGCTCTGACATTGTTTTACTACCTTCATGGCCACAAGCCTGTTTGAAGTTGTTGGGGATGATGAAGTGGGTGGGTGAGGAAGTCGTGGCAGAAGTGGCAGTACGGCTTCTGGGAGGGCGATGAGCACACCCAAAGAACAACTGCACATCCTTGTTGCAGTAGCAGGCAGATTCGATTGGGCCAATTTGAAAGTGATGAACATGACAGGAGTTCGGTTTGGGGGGCGCTGTACATATTATATATATAGTAAGATAGTTGCATTTGTTCCAAGTGTTTCTCCCACTTCTTTTGCATTCCCATTGCCAGGACCAAAACTACAAGCGCAAACACTGCCGGGTGGAGGCGCTGACGGTGGATCTGTTTGGTTCTACGTTGGTTTGTGTGTCCTGACTGGGTATCAACGTGTGCAGCGCAGCAGTCGCATGTATTTCTTTTCGGGTTACATGAGTGTGCTAGCTTCGTTGAGTGTGCTAGCTTCGTTGGTCATTCCATTCTTCCTCCGTTCGTTTAACTTTCAGGTTGGTCTGAACAATCTTATTGGCCCCAACCCGACCCCAAGATTGGGGCCTACTTGAGGGTTAGGTACATGGTCCATGGTTAAGGATCAGATGGGCCTTGGCTGTATGACTGGCACTACTAGACTAAGACATCATCAGGTCTTACCGTGCATATATTCCTTGACCCACAGGTGTCCTGCAGATCACTGGAGCTCAGCATAGTTCCATCACGTTCCATCAAAACCAGAAAGGAGAGGAACATCCTGTGTCATCCTGTGTCCATCGTACGCGAAAGCACCACGTAGACGTCGCGCACCTCCAGGCATCCCAGTCACCAAAAGCAGGCGGGGCCACGTGTTTTCACGTCATGACGTGGTACAGGGAGACGAGAGAATGGCTGGAACCGAGTATAGGGATGATTTATGGCTATTTAGTATAATGATATATTACATATTATTTATGGTGTTTGGATGCCAACCACCGGATCCAGCCAGAGCCACATGAAGGTTTGGGGGGAGGCATCTGTTGAAAGGCTTCAAGTTCGCAGTCCGGCAGTATGCCCGGCCTGCGATGTCCAACAGCTCCAGCCGCCACATCATCCTGTTTGCATCAGCGGTAGCTTTCCTGGACGGGTGATCCTTTGTGAAGTAATGATGGGTATACATTGGTCGGAGGAGAGAAGCGTCCCACAATCTCGGACATGTTTGGCTTCAGTGATTCGGAAGGTACACCACAACCATGCACAGCCACCAGAATCAACAGTGGCAATGGAGACACTTCATGAAACTGCATGACCCATTAGTTCAGAGCGCGGCTGTCACCCTAGGCCTGAGACATGGCATGTCTCAGCAATTGTTGAACCACGAAGTCACGAGGTCATTCGTGCTCGTTCAATCTTCCTTCTTGAAAAGAAACCCGACTATCACAGCCAACTCAAACCTTCTTGAGCCATATACCCTATGAAAACAGGTTATAGTGTGTCATTGTTGGAGGGTCAACCAACGCCCAACGTTCTGGAGCTGGGGCTGACTTCCACTGCTTCGGTCAAGCAGAGACATTTGCTTCCCCTCGAGGTGAATGAAAGAATGGAGGTCACAAGCTCAGCCCTGTTTTGGTGAGTGACAAGTTGTGAATAAGCTCAGGCGGGTACAACCGGGTCCTCTGAAGAAGATATTTTGCATGCTTTTGTCGACCTAAAAGCTACACAGCCTGCTATGATCTTAAGCCCTTAACCAGCGAAAAACCGAAAAGTGAAGGTACATGGTTTGGACATGGTGACACCATGAGAAACTTGCACTTGATGAGCTCTGTGCTCCATCCATGGAAGCCGTTTCCTCGAAATGTTGGAACCAGAAGCCCAGCCTGGCCCAGGGGCCAGGCCTGGCCAGCTTTGATTCATTTGACAGCAAGGTGTTTGATTCGAAATGAGCGAAATGCGGAACCTGCCAACTGGATCCTTTTCTGTGGGTGGACAGGCATTTCCCAAGCGGACTTGGAAAGACTCGGCATTTTTGTCGGTGTCGTAGCTGGCCCAACATTACTGGTACAACGGATTGTTTCCTGCGGCCCTGGTTCAAAATGCACCGACTGGACATTTGCAAGGTGATGTATGCGAAAGGAAACGTGTCAACTCCACCCAGTAAAGAAATTGCGTAGTCTTCCAATTTGTCGTCAGATGCGCCAGGTGGTTTACTATAGATGTTTGCAGTTTTAACAAACGGTCACAGGGCTTTCCTTTGCATTTAGATTCAAAGTGAGAAAGAAAGAGTTTTGCATATGCAGACTGAGGCGCCAAGGGCCTAAGTGCCGGGTGCCAACATCAATGGCCCGATGAGGGAATATTCTCCGAATCTCATGGGGATGCCCTGGAATGAATGTGACAGACCATGGAAGGTGAAAAAAAAGACCATCGACATGTCGCCATTCCCAGGAGGCATTTTGCAGTTTCACCTGATTTGCGCAGACACCCGGTTTTGCCATTGTATATATGATTATTAGCTCTCAGCCAATCAGCCGCCGCAAATCTCCAAAGAATTTGTACCAAACCGCGGTTCGCCATGGCCTAATGGCTCGACCCAATGAGTGGTAATTGTTGAGATGTTCATTATATTATATGTATATATCTAGTAATAATATATTACTTATATTATACTATATTGTATATGTATATATAAATATATATTATACTGATTATACTGTAATGATTCTGTTTGAATTGAGTTTGGGAAATCATGAAAACTATCAGAACAGCTGTATCACACAACCTGCCTGTCACCTGCATGATAATTACACTGCACCTCTCATCCCCAACCGCACTCAGAATCGCCTGGTTCTGAAGCTGATTCTTGCTGTAGAACACTCCGAATTGATGCCATGAAAGCCCTTGGAATTGGGGTTGCTGTCTTTTGTCAGCATGCTGTGGTTGTCACGAAAGGTAAGTTCTCCTTGCTTTAGCAAAAATGTATTACAATCAGGAGTTCGGATTGTGCATTGAGTTTGGTCCTGTAAGAGTTGATTCTGCTCGTCGGGGGGGGGGGGCCCCCCCTGGATCAAATCCCCCCTGTGCCGGTTCACGCCGTCATGGACTTCTACCAGGGTTACTTGTGATTGCCTGCTACCTTTCGTTCACCTTCTCCTCTCTCAAGTGACACTAGACCAGCGAATCTCCCACACGCAAAACTTGCGTATCGGCACAGCTTGAAAGGGTAAATGAGGACCGATCTGCAGGTATAAGGTTCAAGGCACATCATCGTGTGAAGACAGCGGTCACACATATGCGATGCCTCCGGATGCCTCTTTTTGATCCAAACTCGAGAAATAACAGTTCATCCAGCGCCAGGAGGATAGCTTTAATTTGGGAGCACCCCCATTCTGGGTCGTTTCGGAGTCTGATTGATGTGTCCACATGTCCAGTGCAAGGAGAACAGCAAGTTGCCTGAGCACGATTTGGCTGTTGGCTGTGTGCTGAAACCTCAGGGAACCTGAGATGTGATGAGCCTGAGGAAACCCGAGATCGAGCGAGAGAGAGGGAGAGAGAAGCATATAGTATTGGAAAGACGATGAAAGACGTTTTGGTGAAAAAGACAATTCCAAATGAAAAGTCGGAGAACAATGATTGAAGAACAGCCACCATGACTTAGTCAATGACTATAGGATACTATAGGTGAATGAAGTTCTCATGTCCTGCCTCGACCCATCTCGGGATGGGCGTTCATCCGTTAATGGCCAATGAATTGGCGTTGATGGTAAAAGGCAGTCTGGACGACTTGCGCAGTGGACTGTCAGGTATTTTTCATCATTTTCATCCGGCATGTGTCATCGTTGTTTAAATCATTTAAATCAGTATCTTTGTTTCTTCGATTGAACTGTTTCTCCCTCGAAGTGGCCGGGCATGGATGTACTTTGACCAACTTGTTTGCGCTTCTTTCTTTGGGCACGGTTTCCTTGTTTCGGAAGAATGGACTCAACCAGATCCTGAAACCGATCGGATCCTCTCCTCCATAAACTCGTTTGGGCTGTTGTCCGGTGTGGACGGTCCCGTGAGGTGGGGACCAGCGCTGGTGCGAAAATGGAGCACCGCGCCATCATCTTCGGTTACGGCACTGACACACTAGCTTTATCCATGTTTGAGTCAGCCACGATGGGTGGAGGCAGGGCCACCCTTGATGATATTTCAACCTCCCATATGCCGAGTCTACACTACCAGCCTTCTGCAGCTGATTCTAGTCATCACGCTGCCGCAGCGGGGCGCTCAGCACCACGCCCTGCGCGGTGACAGCCCATGGAGGGTGCCCGAGGTGCTTTGAAGCGTGTTCGCAGTTGAAACGATTGGACTGGCAGGGCTGCAACTTGAAAGCTTTCCGTGCAATTCCTACGGTTTTTCTATAGTATCCTAGCTGGGTCAGCTAGGGGCACCTGACTGTGTCACCGACATTGCCCAACGAGTCACTGGGTGGGGGTATGATGGGGTGGGGTCTTCCCGAAGTGGACCAACGAGAACTTTTGAACCTGAAGTGGAGTACATAGCTGGCCCTATGTTTTGTCATCTCTTTGTCGCAGGGGTCCAGAGTGGAAAGATGTGGCCGGGATTGGTCCAATGAACTTTCCCGGCATCATGGACGCTTTATGACGTCCACCCAGCACCTAGAGTCCAATCTCTTGGGGTGGGCAGCTGTCACAGGTAAATCAAGGTATAGTATATAAATCCGATCTTTGGCAACATGCAGAACATTGACGCAATGGCACCCCAATGGCTATAGAGCTGGGTTTCATTGCTTCCTGTGATTGACTGGTGCATTCCTGCCTTTTTTTTGCGGTATGTTTGATAGAGCATGATAGAGCACCATGAGGCATCTCTCATCATCTCTCTGAAACAAAACCAATCATATTTCTGGTGGCCTTCAACCGCCTAAAGCTTGCACGGGCCGATGCAGTTAGGATTTATGTGGATATTGGTATGACTGTCTCACAGCAAAGAAAGCTGCAGAAACAGATCAGGTGGACATCAATTCCTCTCGTCACACCATGTCCACCCTCTTTTCCGTGAAGAGGGATCCACTTTTTCTACAGAAAACAAACACGGCATTCTCGCTGCGGAGTCGCCGATCGCCATCGCACCAGGTGCTCGGATGCAGCATCCCTGGGTGACGCGCGAGGCGAGCACCCACACCCGCATGCGCGCCGAACGGGCATGGCGCGGGAGTCTGTGGGTCTCGCGAAAATTGCAGTTTCTTTGAAACACGACAGAATCCCCAACGTGCAGAATTGTTCTGCTCCCTTCAATGTTGTGTTATTAGGATTCAACATTCCCCCAAAAGGACACGCTGAAGAGGCAAATTCCGGCCCTTTACAGACACTGGCATCCCAGGAGTAGACATCAAATCATCTTTGGATAAACTGATAAACTCCTGTTTTCTCTATGTAGTGGATTGAGAGTAGATGGCAAAAGTATCAGAGTTGGGTGGTTTTGAGACATCTTGGGGCGCCAGTGCCATCTACTCTGAAACCACTGCGATCCCAGCCTGTCGTGGCCCTGGTCATATCCCCGGCAGGTGCCGCTGCCGCAGCTCTTCTACAGAGGGGCAGGCCGGGGGTCATTGCTGAGGGGGAACACAGCTCTGGTCCCGGAGTCCTGGAGACCGAGTTCCACGAATCCGACCGAGCTGGGCTCCAGGTCTCCCGGGTCCAGGGCCAGTTCTGTCTCCCAGGACCCAGCCTCACCCGGGGGCTCTTCACGAAGCAGAGAGTGGTGGAGTCGCGAAAGATGGCTTTCGAGGCAGGGGTTGGTTGAGGCAAAGGAGGCATGGGTTGCAACCTGCATGGGTTGACACTGCTTGGAACATGTGTTTGAACCCACCAAGCTACCAGCACTTCCATGTTTTGAAGAAGGCGACCCAAAGCAGGGGCCACTACCTGGAAATCAACTGGGCACCTGGCAGGCCGGGCAGAGAAGGTTGTGAAACGATTCTTGGTGTGAACAGCGTGAGACAAACCTGTCTACCGATCTTGCTCCTTCTTGGGAAAAGGCAAAGCCGCAGATCCTTTGACCATGCAAACTCTTCAAGTGCTTTGGTTGGGTACGAGACTTTACAGTCCATTCTGCTATCGTTGGATCGAGAGATGGTCGTCTCCTTCTTCCCGGAGAACCTCCGGAGATCCAACGATTTCGCGTCATGAACACACTCTCTCTCTCTCTCTCTCTGCCATTCTTGAAGAGATAGACCTACTGGATATAAAAAGATATAAAAAAGAGGTACTGTAACTTATATGACTCCTATGAGCACCCTATGAAAACCTGTCCATTATGTAGCTTGAAGGAGGCTGGACATCATTTTCGAACATCGCCGCTCATATGTTGAACCGATGTCACCCACCGGTGTTTCGTTTCTTCCATCCCGCCAGGATGGGATTCGTTGGGATCTCAGGTTTTTCCCGAAACGGACTCCCAGAGGGGTGGGATTGTGGCAGCTATAAGTGAGATGGTTTCGATGAGCTCTTCAGCATCAAGATCTCTTGGGGGAGTGTTCTCCCTGTTAAAAAGGAACAGCTATAGGAGTATTAGCAGACAACCTTCGTTTCTAG